AACAACTTGCATTCATGTAGTGCCCTCCACCCGGGCAGCGTCTCAGAGTGCTTGAACTAACAACCGGGTTCCTACTTGCTGCTAGATAAACAGGCATGTGGAGTAAGGAAACTTACCCGACGTTTTGCCCTGCCGGGCATTGAAGCCAGAGTCTCTCGCTTGCGAGACGAGTGCTGTAGCCATTGAGCTGCAGGACACCACAATCTGCCTTTGTTTCCTGTCACCAGGATATGACGAGGGATCTAGAATGGGGAAAGAAAATTGGGGGAGTGACCCAACTTATAAGAAGTTAAAAAACTGGATATTGCATGTTTCACAATGATATAAAGATGTTTAGATAATTGCTAAAGGATGTTTTTAGTGTGATATTCTCTTGCCAAATAGAATCATGAAAAACGTTGAGAGCAAGCTTGTTTGCAATTCCATTGCTGTTATTTGGTCCAATGTTTGTCCGTTGAGGTAAGCACAATGTTGACATCTATCATCTATTGCACATTGACGTCCGCATTGAAGAGGAACTCATGCTTTGGCTTTTGGGAATCCAGAAAATGCCCACTCTTGAATAAAACACTAAAAAGTTGTATTACACAGCTGATTTATAGCACAGTTGGTGTCAAGTTTCAGGAAAAAACACACACCCTTGGGAATCTTATTACAAGGGATTTATTCCTTATGCAAAATCAAGGTGCTGGATGGCTGAACACAAATAGGTTCTGCACATATGTTGACTGCATCATGATTGGCTGACAGGTCAGAGATTTCTTTATCTAAATAATGGTAGCAAACCACAAAAACGCAAACCTTCCTGGCATTCAGGCACATCTCCCAAACGTTTCTAACATTAATCAGATTGTGGAAACTGCAAAAAATAGAATGTTTTAAAATGTTATTGCACTTGTACCTGACAAAAAATAAATGATTCAATGCCTTATTTCAATGTCTGTCATTGCAAAACTGCAGTTAATCACAGGCACCCATCAGATATCCTTAGGCTTTTACACAAATTGATGTGCATTTACAGTGAACCTTGTGAGGCACCTTGTGATGTTCTCCCGATGTGGAAGGTGCTGCATCAAATCCAAGGATTATTGTCAATGGGCTGGTGTGCCTCTGCAAACGTAGAAACAGGAGTAGAAACAGGAGTTGCTTGACCTGTTCTGCCACTTTATAAGATCATGGCTTTATAAGATCATGGCTGATCTGTGCCTCATGTCCAGCCCTTGCCCCATATCCCTTAATACCCTGACCTAACAAATATTTATCAATCTCCGACTTGAAAATGTGAGACACCATCACCTGGCAACCTCTACCCTGATTGGGATGGCTTTCGCATATTCTGCAAAGCAATAGGACCTCAGATCACCACTCCAAAGAGGGTTATCTTAAAATTATACAAGGATGGTGGATTAAAATTAAACAAACCCACAAGAGCACACTTAATTCTGTTTTTATTTGAACAAATGTTTACACAACACCTTTCAAGTCAGGAGGACATCTTGAGGTCATTAATACAATACAAAATTACATTTGTAAAGCGCCTTTCATGTCGGGAGAACAACAACTTAGATTTATATAGAATGTCCCAAGGTGGCTGGACAGTCAGAGGTTGGGGCCCAGGCGGGGTGTGGGTTGGGATCAGGGAAGGTGGAGGGCAGAAAGGGTGGCTGAAGGTACGGTCAAAGAGGAGGGTCTTGAGGCATACCTTGACGGAGGCAAGGGAGGGAGTGCCAAAGGGTTAGGGCAGAGAGGCCGAAGGTCCAACCGCCGGGCAGGGAACATGGAGCAGGCTGGAGCCTGCTGAGCAGAGGGAGTGGACAAGTTGATAAGGGGTTAGCAGGTCGGAGATGTAGGAGGGGACAAGGCCATGGCAGGCCTTGAAGTTGAGGACGAGAATTTTGAACTCGATCCTCTGAGGGATGGGGAGCCCGGCGAGGATGGGGGTGATGGGGTCACGGAGCCTGGTGTGGGTGAGGACACAAGAGTCCTGGATGATCTGCAGCTTGTGGAGGGAAGAGTTGGGAGGGCTGATAAGGAGGGCATTTGCATAGTCGAGCCTGGTTGTAATGAAGGCTTGTATGAGGGTTTCGGCGGCCTGAGGGGTGGGCCAGTGGCGGAATCGGGCAATGTTGCAGTAGTGGAACATGGATGTGGGGGAGAAAGGACAGTTGATGGTCGAACAAGACGCTGGGGTTCCTGACTGGCTTGGTGAGGTGGAGTGTGCATCCTTGCATGCTGATGCTGCAAGTGTCTGAGGTTCAGAGGCCGATTAACACTGGCTTGCAGGGTTAACTGATAACCGACGAGAAGAATCCGTACCCCAATGACTGGTCCGCCCTACTTCCTGTTGATGAGCTAGGCTGGCTGGTCTAGTTATCAGCACTGGCCTATCCATCCTTCCCTCCACACCTTCGAACCTGTCTCCCCCTCCTCTCTCACCACTGCTATAACCCATATGAAACCAACCACCTGCTCCCTTGACCAGGGCTCCCTGTCTGCTCATCCTCCTTGACCTCTCTGTTGCCTTCGATACCATTGACCACTCTATCCTCCTCCACCATCTCTCCTCTCACTTTAACCTTCATGGTTCTTCAGTGGCTCTCACATCGTCTCCATTTCATCTTCACAAATGGCTTCTCTACCCCCTACACCGTCTTATGTGCCATTACTCGGGGTTGTCCTTGGTCCCCTCCTCTTCAATATCTATATGCTCCCTCTTGGTGACATCACCCACAAACATGGAGTCAACTTCCACCCTTGACTCCAGACCACTGCTGTCCTGACAGAATATCTTATCAGACATCGAGTCCTGGATGAGAGCTAACTTTCTACAGTTGAACATCAACAAGACTGATGCCCTCGTGATTGGCTCCTGGCAGCGCCTCCACACCTCAGGCACTGACAGCATTACCATCCATGGTTGCACACTCCACCTCACTGAGCCAGTCCGGAACCTTGGCATCTTGTTTGACCCTCCTACACCACATCTGTGCCATGACCCGCTCTCCCCCACCTCCATAACAACACCACCGAGATCCTCTTATATGCATTCATAACACCCAGGCTCAACTACACAAACTCCCTGCTTATTGGCCTCCCCAACTTCTCCCTCCATAGGTTGCAGATCATCCAGAACTCTGCAGCCCGTGTACCCCCACACCAGGCTCGATGAACGTATCACCCCCATCCTCACCCGACTCCACTGGCTTCCAACCACGCAGAGGATACAGTTCAAGGTACTGGTCCTCACTTTCAAAGCCCTGGATGGCTTTGCTCCCCCATACCTGTGCGACCTCCTAACCCCCTACCATCCTGTCCGCTCCCTCCGCTCGGCGGGCTCCGGCCTGCTTCACATCCCTCCCACCATTTCCTGATGGGCCTTCAGCCACTCTGCCCCCACCCATGCCTCCTTCAAGATCTCCTTTTCGACCGTGCCTTTGGTCACCCTCCTTCCCCCCCCCCGCCCGCCCTCCACCCATCCCGATCCCAACCCTCAGCTCAGGTCCCAAACACGCATTGTGCAGCTCCTCGGGACGTCCTCCCGACGTGAAAGGCGGTTTACAAATGTAATTTTGCTGTTGTTGAATCGAGCGTTTTGTTTGTGAGCGGAATGTGAACTGAGAGCCCCGACTGTGCCTTTCCCCCTCAGTCCCGGCGGGGTCTCCCCCCACACCCCTCAGTCCCGGCGGGGTCTCCCCCCACACCCCTCAGTCCCGGCGGGGTCTCCCCCTCACCCCTCAGTCCCGGCGGGGTCTCCCCCTCACCCCTCAGTCCCGGCGGGGTCTCCCCCCACACCCCTCAGTCCCGGCGGGGTCTCCCCCCTCAGTCCCGGCGGGGTCTCCCCCCTCACCCCTCAGTCCCGGCGGGGTCTCCCCCCTCAGTCCTGGCAGGGTCTCCCCCCTCAGTCCCGGCGGGGTCTCCCCCTCACACCCCTCCGCCGCCGCTCACTGTCTCTTTCAAACCTCCCGCCACACACACACACACACTGCAGCTCACCCCGCGGTGACGTAACGCTGAGCGGAAGTGATGGTGAGGTTCCGGTGTGGGCTGTTGCCTGGTAACCGGGAGACACAGGAAAACCCGGACTGCGGTACAGCGGGAAGTCAGTGTGTGAGTGTTTACAGCAGGTTCTGTGTCTGTGTACAAGCTGTGTGTGTGTGCAGGCTGTGTGTGTGTGTACAAGCTGTGTGTGTGTGTGTACAAGCTGTGTGTGTGTGTGTACAAGCTGTGTGTGTGTGTGTACAAGCTGTGTGTGTGTACAAGCTGTGTGTGTGTGTGTACAAGCTGTGTGTGTGTGTACAGGCTGTGTGTGTGTGTGTATACAAGCTGTGTGTGTGTGTACAGGCTGTGTGTGTGTGTGTACAAGCTGTGTGTGTGTACAAGCTGTGTGTGTGTGTACAAGCTGTGTGTGTGTGTACAGGCTGTGTGTGTGTGTGTACAAGCTGTGTGTGTGTGTGTACAGGCTGTGTGTGTGTGTACAGGCTGTGTGTGTGTGTACAAGCTGTGTGTGTGTGCAGGCTGTGTGTGTGTGTGCAGGCTGTGTGTGTGTGTGTATACACAGGCTGTGTGTGTGTGTGTGTACAGGCTGTGTGTGTGTGTACAAGCTGTGTGTGTGTGCAGGCTGTGTGTGTGTGTGCAGGCTGTGTGTGTGTGTGTACAGGCTGTGTGTGTGTGTGTACAGGCTGTGTGTGTGTGTTACAGGCTGTGTGTGTGTGTACAGGCTGTGTGTGTGTGTGTACAGGCTGTGTGTGTGCAGGCTGTGTGTGTGCAGGCTGTGTGTGTGCAGGCTGTGTGTGTGTTTACAGGCTGTGTGTGTGTGTGTGTTTACAGGCTGTGTGTGTGTGTACAGGCTGTGGTGTGTCTGTGTGTACAGGCTGTGGTGTGTGTGTGTGTGTGTGTGTGTTTACAGGCTGTGTGTGTGTGTACAGGCTGTGTGTGTTTACAGGCTGTGTGTGTGTGTACAGGCTGTGGTGTGTGTGTGTGTGTTTACAGGCTGTGTGTGTGTGTGTTCACAGGCTGTGTGTGTGTGTTTACAGGCAGTGTAAAGAAAATGCCCATAACACACAGGCTGCACCAGGCTCTGGACAGTGAGTGAGGGACTGCTCCTAGTCCTGCCTGGTTCAAGCTGCTTGAATAATTATTAGTATCACAAGACTTTGCTCTCTTATTTTTCTTTGACTGTTCAAAAAAATTTCACCCCACTCCCCCCAAAAAATCCCAGAGTGTCAACACTGGGCCAGTTAAGTCGCTGATAAAAGAGATTGCTATTTACTATCTAATAATAAAATTATTTTAGGAAGGCCAAAGAGGTGGTACTTTCTGAGATAAATGAACACGTACCTTTAGAACAAGTAACATTTCTGACTGTCAGTTTCTGCCATAGAATAAGGTTGTGCAGTATTTTGTTTCTACATTTTTCCAGGCTTTGCTTCATTGAAAATATGAAATCGTTAAACGATGCACATAAAGACTACTTAGACCCGAAGAAAAAAACACTCCGAGAGGTTCTGAATGGTTTTGAGAAGGATCAAATGGTTGATATTTTGACCCTCACATCTGGGTATTTGAACCACAATAATCTCTGCAAAGTACCAGTGCACCATGCAAATCAATCATGGGAATGTGCAAAAAAGTGCAATCCCTTTGTAAAAAGAAGAATCTGCTTACCTCCCCAACCCCAAGTAAATGAAATAAAAGTAAAGGCAATGGAAGATGCCTTAGTAAACTTCACTCTGGTGACCAGTACAGTGTCAATGTTTCCTGCAACTAAATCTCCTTGTCTCAACCACTTAGATCTTAAAAGCTGTGTTGCTTCTCCTTTAACACCTTATGGCTCACAAACCTCCGACACTCAGACCCGTTCGCGAAGCTCTTTCCTCAGTGAAGAACTAAAGTTAGCTGAACTAATGCTGTTAAAATCTCGATCGTTGCGATGTGGCACGTATCACTCAGAGCATGATAGAGGCCAGTACCAATTTGTTAAGTCCTACGTGGCTGGGGTGACCAAAAAGGACCAATTCAATAAATTTGTGGCATTTGAGAAAACAATTCTACGGAAGCAGGATATCCTCGATAAGAACGTAATCTCTGGACACAAAGCAGTGGAGCAACATGAATGGAAGCTATCACAGGTAAGAGCTGTACATCATTTTCTACGTGTGTCGAGGTGACTAAAATTGTGAAAATCAATGTTTTTTTAATTAAAAGATCCTGCTAAATGAAAAACAAATGAGTTAATGGACCCATGGCTGTGATAAATAGTTGTGCTTAATACGTCAAAAAATTGCTGAAAGTGAATGTTTAGATTTAGACAATATTGAGCCTGCAGTTCAATGGCATCTCATTGGTTTCTGAAATACCAGATAAGAGAATGCATCTTCTAAAAAGTACAGAATCACCACACTGCTTCCACTGTTGTAAAAAGTGAAGTTTTCATCTTTGTAACCATGAGATTTCAAACGTTTTTTGTAACTCATAGAACTGGGAGTGAGACTGATAAATATTCCTATTCCATAGGGCAGACGTGCTACAAGGTACCTCCCTTGCTGGGTTGTAGCTCAGTGCGTCTGTGCTACCAATTTCCTAAATTGCATGTTTACGTGTTTCTAGCCAGATAACAGAAGATTACAAAATTAAACAAGAAAACGTTTAGTTTATGGAGGCTGGAAGGAGCTCTTTAATGATTATAAATGTGTGTTAATTCCTTATGTCTATGTACCTATCAGTGAAAGTTGTTACTTATGCATATTTACCACCTTAACTGAATTCTGATATAGTATAATTCGTATCGTTGAATCTTTCACGAGTGATTAAACTTATATTAAAAATTTAGGAACTCATGAAAATAGGTGATATTAAAGGACCAAACTTCATTCGCCTGCGAATCTTCAGTGATGTGTTTGAAGACATCTGCAGAGACTCACCATCATTTTGCATAATCTTGAGGGAAATCAAGGTAATTTCCAATGCTTACCCACTCAATGCTTTATAAGATCCGCTAGCTAATCCCCATCCCCATTAGGTTTGCTCCCTGTTCCCCAGTGCACCAACCAGGATGCTTGTTTTGACTTTCAGTTGTCCCCAAGCTCTTGCCCCCGCCTATCTTTGATTCCTCCAGCTCCATTCTTTGGGAGTATAAGAAAAGTTGCAGTTAAGCCACTACGTTTATATGAATTCATTGTTTTGCTTTTCTGTTGACATTAAAATGATCCTGGTGAGTGAATGAATTACTAAAAGATATGACTTTAAAATTAGTGCAATACTAGTTGGGACTGAGGCAAAGATGATTTTCTTGCAGAGAGTAATACGATTTTGGAATGTGCTGCCCCAGAAAAGCCATACATATTAAAGGATGTAATGTGAAGGCATGGGAGTGAGAATAGGGGAGATAGTAATGTGGTGGAGCGTGGTCGTTGGGTCAAATGGCCTTCTCTCAGTCATAAATTCTTATGTAGAGTAGAAATGCCGTTCATCCACATGTCCACCCAGTTCTTAGAAATCGAAGTTGGACACCGAGCCTGTTGGTTAATGAGAAAGCAACAGAGAGAGAAAGAGAAAAAGGCTGGCAGTCTGGTATTATAGTGACAGTATAATTCCTGATGAACAGTTGACACTAGCCATTTTGCATCATGTCCAATTGTTTGCACTGTTTGCTTATCTGCAGTGGAACCTGTCAGTCTACTGTAATACTATGTATTAAAATAATTGGATTATTATTGGTGTATACAGCTTATTACACAAGTACATTTCTAAATTACTCCAGAGAAATTCTATTAAAAAATCCATTTATACCCAAGGAAATCTGTGTTCAAACCAGATACATTCACATGTGTCTCTGATATAGTTAATATCTAAACGCTGGGACATTTTATCAATAGAATTATCTATTTTTTCAGTACGTTTTCAGTATATATCTGTGATTTAAATGTTTACACACACTTTGTCACTGTACCAAAAATCAAGCTGCCCACACAAAAGTGTGAAGGTAGCAGATTAAAGGCTGTGTGTAATAGATTTATATTTATTATAACTAGATTATAACTAACCTTGAGAATTCCCTGTCTCAATCACTTCGCTTTACCCCCTCTTTATCTACCTTTAGATCCCATCTTAAGACTTGCTTCTTCGACTGATCCCTCCCTCCCTCCCTTGCTCAACGTCCAACCCTAACACTGGGTAGTGCTCTGAGATGCTATTCTGCATGAAGGGTGCTGTAAAAATGCTGATTGTAGTTGTCATATTACTATGTTGTTTTTTTCCCACTTTAACTTTATTATTTAGGCTGAATATGATGGGTACCTCGCGTCAATTTTGGAGTCACAGCCATCGGATCAATGCAAGGTATTTTAGTTTAAATTGCATTCAGTCAAATGAGTCCAGATGTAGGAAATATTTGAAAAAAACAGATATAACTGCAAATGGTTATATTTCACAAAAAGGTTGTGATCTCTGGAGCTCTGTGAGAAGAAGAATATGATGCTTCTTTTCCAGACAATTTTTATACATGTAAAACAGATGCAACAAAACAAAAACAACTTGCACTTATATAGCGCCCTCCAGGCAGGGCAGCATCTCAGAGGGCTTAACAATGGCGGAGCCTGACTCTAAGCCGGGTGTGGGAGGGGGGAGGTGGCCATTAGCACGGTGAAAGAGGAAGGTTTTCAGACGGGACTTGAAAAAGGGAAGAGGGGGGCCAAGGTGGAGGTATTGAGGGAGAGTGTTCCAGAGTTCGGGGGCGTAGTGCATGAAAGCGAGACCTCTGATGGTGGGGTGGAGGGTGCAAGGGACGACCACGAGGCTGGTGCCAGTTGAGTGGAAGCGCCGGGTGGTGGATTGGAGAGTGAGGAGCTTGGAGGGATAGGGAAGTGCCAGGAAGTGAATGGATTTGAACAAGATTGTGAATATCTTGAAGTTGAAACAGTGACCACCCAGATGTAATTATGAACCACAGCTGCATAGGCTATAGTAAAGCAACCAAAAGGCATAACAACTGCAAAAAAATCAACAGAACAATACAATGAAAACATATAAAAATGCAATTTTTAAAGAAATCTGCCCATCTCTATTTTCTCCTGATGCCTTTAAATTTATCTATCTCCTCTCTCTTATTCTGACATATATTTGACTTATTTTTAATTGACTTAAATTACTTTAACTGACTTAAATTACTTCTAACAAATGAATTTAATATTTTTAATCACCGGAGTGAGCCACTTCTGATTGTATAAATGCATTTCCCTTGACTCAATGTTAAATAGTGGGGCTCAACATCAAATGTGAGATATACTGAAAACTCAAATTTTTCAATATCTTATTGAAATGACTTAAACAGATTATTAAATACAAGACAGTTATAACCCTGGGAAAAGTAGGGCTAATTTAGCCTTGCCATGCAACCCTGGCTTAGACCAACGTACTCAGCATGGACCTGGGTTTGAACCAGAGAGCTCCTCGATCTGTAAGCTGCAGCCCTGTTCTGTCCACGATACATTTGAGGCTGCTCCAACCTATCTTTCTCATTGACAGTGTGAAATGACTTCTACACTGTACCACTGTGGACAGGCGCAGGCAATCATTTTTGATGCAGGTACTCACTAGCCTCAGCCCTTTCCCACCAATACAATTACCTTTGATATGTGATATAGAAACATCATTTCACTGTGGGTTATTCTCATAGTAATAAAGAGGTTACGTAAACATAGCCTATTTTTATTTTCTTCCAACTTCCAATCCAAACAGAACTTTCTAGCTCAGTTTCAAGGTATGGACAGCAGAACAGTGAGGACCCATCATGTGGAGGAGGCTCAACAAGAAGTTTCAAGGCTTGAGCAGAAGGCAAAAATTGCTCTGGGATGGAATGATCAGTGAGTGCACCTCATTTCTTGAAACACCCTTAACTTTAAATAAATTGTTCAATCAAATTCATTTTGCTCTAATCAACCTCACAACATTACTCTACCCTGGTGTTAAAACAGTTTAGTTTGTTTGGAAATTAGTGCACTTATAAACACAATTGGGGGCTTTTCCAATGGCCCAGTGTGTGAAAGGCTTTGAATGTTATAGCACTATATGATACAGACCATAAAAAATAATATAATGCTTGCATTTGATATAGTAACCTGTCTGACCATAACAATACACTGTACATTAACATGAGGAATGATATAGTGGAAAATGGATGTAATCCTAAGAGGTATGATGTTTAATATGTTTAATATAATTTTTGGAAATTAGCCTCAATAAACCAACTGGATCAGAATAAGGGTCAAAAAGTTGGTGTTTTCACACTTTTTACATAAAAAGTGACAGCTCTAATGATTGCTTTTCTTAAAAAAAATAGACGGAGAACTGAACTGGAGAATCAACTTGAAGAAGCCAAGAACTTGGTTGCCCAGAAAGGCAAGTCAAGCTTTGCTTCAGAGTTAAAGCTTTAAGTGATAGGCATATGTTTTGGCAGCTAACTAGAACTACCAGAATGCTTTAATTTAATAATAATAATCCCTTGCAATTTGAGATAATGCCTTATCATGTCATCAAGATGTCTCAAAGCACTTCACAGGATACACTGTAAGGTGGATTCACTGTATATTTTGTGGGTGAAATTTGATAAATTCTTCATTTGAAAACAGCCACTAACTAGCTCCTTTCAGGAACTCCTAAAATCTCTCCAACTCCCTCCCTCACTCCCTCCCTCTCTCATTGCTTTCAAACCGTGCCCAAAGACCTAATTTGAATGTACTTTTACCTACCTCACCCTGTATTTTTTTCTCTTTCCCTCCTCTCCCCCCACTTCCCCATCTCCCATCCAGCTCAGGCTTCTACTCTATCTCTGTATAGCACTTGAAATATTCTCCTATATAAAGGCGACTACATAAATGCAATTTGTTGTTGTGTCTGTCACTGTTGAAATTGGCAACTGTAATGTGACCCATTCAACAACAACAACAACTTGGATGTATATTGTGCCCTCCATGCCGGACGGCATCTCAGAGCACTTTACAGTAACGGATTCCGCGACCGAGCCAGGGGGAGGGGTGGGAAGGTGACCAAAGGCGTGGTCGAAAAGAAAGGTCTTCAGCAGAGACCTGAAAATGGGAAGGGAGGGAGCGAGACGAAGGGAGTGAGGAAGGGAATTCCAGAGCCTCGGGGCATGGTGGCTGAAGGCATGGCCGCCAAGGGTGGAGTGGAGGACTCGGGGGACAAGGAGGAGGCCAGATCCGGAGGAACGAAGGCAACAGGTACTGTTTTGAGGAGAGAGGAGGTCAGAGAGGGGCAGAGGAGTGCAGGGACTTGAATACGAGGGTGAGGATCTTGAAATCGATCCTCTCTGGGATAGGGAGCCAGTGCAGTCTGGCAAAGACTGGGGTTATCGGGGAGCAGAGTTATTCAGTGGCCCAATGACTTATGTTGATAACATTTTCATTGATTATGTCCATTATAACATTATAAATATTCAGTGGGTTTAAAGAGGAAACCTCACCAATCATGTGTAAGAATATATATATATATATATATATATATAGCCAGGACACATGCTGTCACCTGTTGAATGGTGACTCCACCAATGCGACGTGAAATGCTTCAGCACTCTTCAGCACCAGTTGCTGAGCACTCTCTGAAACTAGTTGGTATGCAAGAGATCAATGTGTCCAGCTTTCTATATTAAAATAAAGCTGTGCATGGTGGAAATCAGAAATAGAAGTAGGACATTTTGGAAATCCACATCAAGTCAATAAGATTTGAAAGAGAAAAGAGGTTAATGTTTTCCTATCACAAATTATTGGAGAAACCACTAATTATTCCAATGTGCAAAATAACCGATATAATGCTGTTTTTACCCAGAAACCTTAAGTAAGCCAGTTACAGAGCCTCAAGTAGCAAAAGTGCTGACTGTTCAAGAACAGGTGATGTTACTGAGGAGTAAAATTATCAGAACTTTGAAACAGATTGACTCACTGGAGGATAATCTGAGCACCATGATCCCAATTCAATTATCTAAAGCTACGAAGACCTCTTTGAAAACAACTAAGGTATTTACAACAATACATTACATTTATGTAACACCTTTCATGTCAGGAGGACATCCCAAGGTCCTGGCTTTTATAACTAGCTTTACAGTTATAGAAGCAAGTACCTTCCTTCTTCTTAAGCTCAGAATCAATAAAACTTACTAAATATTTTGCAGTTATCACCTGTGAAAATTAAGGCATTTGTTTTATTGATTAGTTAATATTCAACATCTCTATCTCCAGTTTACCATCTAATTCGATCACCCTACATCTCCTCTGCTGTAAAATGGTATGTCCCATGGACAGTGTCAGTCCTTTAGTAACTTGCCCAAATACCCATTGGTGCCTGGGCAGTGAGTGTTGGGTATTCATTTATTCTGTAGTGGCTTATTCACAGCCAAGATATCCTTTTCAATGCCCAGTTCCAATAGAAGTCACAAGATGGTGATGAGGAGCAGGAGTCTTTGTGTCATGGCTGTCTTTGGGACCTTGCTGGTGCAAAATAAAAATAATCTTTGCATTTCTGCCATGTTTCCCTATAAGAACAATTGCTTGTTAAACGCTTTGAAATGTCTTGATGTTATCCAGTGCTAACATACGTGGAAACCCATCACCATGGTTCAGTGTATCCAAACCAAACGGCGAGATCCATGCATCCCACCTCTATATGGAACTTCCAGAGATATTTATTAGAATGCACACACTCGCCCTAGTGGGATGCATCCTGCCTACCTAATTCTGGAGAGTATTAGGCTCAGGGTGGCAAGAGCCAAGGCTTGGGGACCTCAGAGTGTGCATTGGGATACTGCTGGAGTCAAACCAGCTAAAACCGGATAGCTTGCCACTGAGAGCAGTTTCCTGCTGTTTGTTCCCGTTAGGACTTTGGCTTGCAGGGTTCCTTCCGCCAGTGACTGGACTGTATTCCAAGTCCTGCCAATGAGCCATACTGGCTGTGCTCTCCTCAGCAATGCCCTGAAATACTGTGGGCCAGGCTGATTGGCTCAATTCCTGTAGACCTTTGGTAAGCATGTCACCTTAGAGCCAGTTTAGCTTCAAGGGGACCCTACTTACCTTCCTCCCATGGAGGATAGACAATAGTTGGTCATTTGACATCCAATAAAAACTACATCATTCAAGCATAATACATAATTTAATTAAAATTGAGACTTGAAGTTTAAAACTGTGTTGATGCAGAATTAATTCATTCACAAGCGTTTGTAACCAACTTAATTGTAACTGTAGGACAAAAATCTATTTTTTTGCTGAACCTAAAATGTGTAATACTGCTCTGAATTTTCCTACAGGTTGAAAATGTAAAACTGGAGAAATCAAACAAGTTTATTCAAGGAGCAACAAAGGTAAGTTTTTATTCACATTAATTTTAGGTTAACCCCCACCCACTCCCCTCCTGAATTTTCTAATATTACTTCCTGGCACCCACAATGTACTGTGAGCTCAGAGTAACCTTGGATCACAGTTAGTGCTGCGAAATGAAAAGGCAATAAAGGATTGAATGATGAACAAGGGTGACACATTCTATTTTTGGTATTCATCTTTAATGCAGCACCAAATATATTTGTAAAATGATCACTGGGTCGACTTGTTAATTTATTTCATTGATCAATTTTGATTGATTGCTAAATGCTGAATATGGCATCTGCTCCAGTACTCTGCTTCACATGTTGCGTCGCACACTCTGATTGCTTCTGTATCATTTTTTCAGTAACCAACGTAGGGGAGGGGTATTGAGGTTGATGGCTATTGCAAATTACTATATTGTAGACTTTGTTGCTAATTTCTCTCCTGATCGCTAGATTCTGTTATATCCCCCACAACCCTCCCCCCAAATAATATATACCAATAATACTACCCTCACCCGCCTCCCCTCTTGCAGAAAATGTTGTACTCTCTTGGTCTCTTGGCTTCACCTTACCAGTCACCAGCTTAAGGTCTCCAGTAAATAGGGTGTGTCCCTCCAGGGAAAGGATGCACATTCCATTACCAAAAACCTTCCATATAGGGGAACTCTTAGCAATTTGGACTGAAGATTCTTAAGCACGTGACACATAGGTTTTTATGTGTTTCAGACATCAGACCGTTTGTAGTCTTTTTGCACTCTGAGCTATGTCTCTGTGAAGATATTTTGTTTTTGCCCTCCTTAGTAAGACATATCTTCATTTTAACATTCCTCCCTCCTTTGTAGATTTTTTCCCATCCAGGACTCAAATTGCTAGGGAACTGGCTACTTTATTCTAGTTCCACATTCTGCCACTGGGCAGCACTATCAATACCCTGTTCTGCATTGGGTACCCATCAGAAAACACCAATATATATCAAATTTCATTGTACTGATTACATGAAAAGAATTCCTCCTTTTCTTTATTTTTGTATCCTGCATCTTTGATCCATTATAGGATGATTATACAGCTACAGTACTGTACTTGTATGGATTGTAATTTTTGTATTTAAAAAAAGCAAAGGTTACTTTAATTACTTAGTTTCAAGATGTGCAAAGAAAAAATGCCTTAAATTTCTCTGACTTCTGTTTGCAGAAGTTTGCAAATATAATCCATAGAGTACTTCATAAAAACGGAGTGGACATAAGGGAGCAAGAGTGAGTATGAAACTATCGTTATACAGTATTTGTTATATTTGCATATTGGAACCAGCTTACTTTATAGTTTTAGCACATGGCTATCTTCACTATTAGCACAAGATTCCAAGATTGGTTTGGATGAAGAAGGCCCTTTGACCCATCTGATCTCAATCTTCTTGAATGTCTACCATCCTAAAGTATAGTTCTGGTTTTACTTTTTAAAAGTAACTGTATGCAGTTATGTGTACTCTATGTGAAATCTTAACAGAGCCCTACACTACTTGAGTATAATGTCTGCTGATCTGAACTGAACTGATTTAGCAGTATGAATGGTGGTGCCTATTATTTGCAATATTTAGATCAATCTGATTTCTTGACAATTCTGAAATAGCATCTTAATGCATTGATTTCTAAAAGAAATTGAATTGACTAGTTAATTTGTTGGATCATTGGCCATTCTAATAGACAAGAAATTAGAACATTTTTCATATTCTTTCTTAATATAAATTATTTGATATTAAATATTCAGAACAGTACTATAAAATGAATAGAAGTATGTTTAAAGGGGTAAAACCATCAAAATATGAAAACGATTCATGAAGGTGAGGTTGATGAACATTACTTCTAGAATCATAGAATTATACAGCACAGTAGGAGTCCATTCAGCCCATTGTGGCTGTGCCGACTCTTTGAAAAGAGCTATCCAAATCAATCCCACCCTCTCGCTCTCTCCACATAGCCCTGCAAACTTGTCCTTCCCAAATAATGATCTACTTCTCTCTTAAAAGTTGTTATCCGCCTCACGCTGCTGGGCTCTCTGCTCAAGCGAGGCCCTCGGAAGTCTTCTCCTTTATATAGGACTCAAACAAAAGCACATAGTTTCGACTGGTCAGCAGATTTTTTAATCCTCAACATCTGGCCTATGATTAACTGCTAATCATAATCAATTCTAATGTCCATATATATCTTCCTGTTAAGAGTGGTATCCTGTAACACTTTTTTGAGAAACCTAGTTATGGAGACGAGACCCATTTTGAGGAATGGATTTGAGCTTGCATTTTATAACAACAAATTGCATTTTATAGCGCCTTTCACGTCGGGATGACGTCCCCAGGCACTGAAAACTTGCGCTAGGAGGGAGGGTTTGAATGCAAATAGACATTCATGGTACTCGGGGAATAACACCCAACATAAATTTAAATCAGTCATACTCGGGTTAATAGTGAGAGTCCACATTTCTGTCTGTGAGTTCTTTGTGCTGTAAATAAAATTATATAAAAAAACACAAGTTGTAAAAGGAAATAAACAATTATAATGTTCCTCTCTACCTACACTGTTTGAGGCACACTCCTCTGCAATTGATATGGAAAATATTACATTTGTAAGCTACTACAGTTGGATCAGAAATTAGGTTTAAATTAAGAGGTTCCTTAAGAATCAAAGTTGGGATGCTTGGACTTGCAATAGCAAACTGAAACTGTGAGCAATTGGCTGCCGTGGTTCGCCCACAAAACATACACTTACAAATTCACTTACCGTATATTCCATGAAACTCTTTGAGACATTTCATAGATATAAGACGTACTATATAAAAATGCAAGGATTATATTATTATCTATTAATAAAGCTTGTTTATTTTTAAAAAGGCTATGAATTTATGGATATAATAATAATATTTTTGCATTTGATATAGCACCTTATCACATCTTCGAGATGCCTTAAAGCACTTCACAGAATATACTGTAAAGTGAATTGACTATATATTTTGCAGGTGGATAAAATATATTTTTTTAAAAGGAAACTAATCCATGTATCACTCTGTATTGTAGGAACTTGTGGAGCAGTATCAAAACAATGGATCTTGTTGAAAGCCAAACTGACACTGATCTCAAGTCACCCAACCTATGTCCGAATGACAATTTCTAACCTTGGGTTTTGCTGACATTGCTACTGGTCTGAATGTAGATGCTATATATAACCTATGATTAAAAAAAAGTGATGGGAGAAAAGAGTGGGGGGGNTGGAAGTATAAGTTTTATATATATAATTCATGTTTTCATGTTTTTTACACATTGTGAAAGATTTAAAATTTTTGATTTTAACTTTCTTATTTCTGTCCTTTAACAATAATTTAGTGATGTGATAACTATACTAATAACAGAATTTAGGAACTTGGGCGGAATGGAAAACGCCATAAAAACAATATGTTTGTTTGTATGTAAAGGAGATGATCTTGAATCTGTACAAGAGATTGTGCAAATTTTGACATTGTATATGTAGTCATCAACTTTATATTTGAAAATACACTGGAGTAATAAGAAAATATTTGTGTACTTTCAGGAGCACAGCAATGGGAAGAGAATATTTAGCCATTTGAACCTGTTTTATCAGTCTGTTAGATCATGGCAGATCTTTTATCCAAATTGCCTGCTTTTTCTCAATAGGACTTTAAATATCCTTACTTCCCGAGTATCTCTCCTTTTAAACATCCCAATTGGTTTTGCTTCTCTTCTGGGGCAGAGCATTCTATGTTCCATTTCTACTTTCAGAATTTTTCAAGAACACAGAAGCTGTAAGAGAAATTGATTATATAAATTAAGTTTGTTTTCCAACTTGATGCTGTAATGGGAGGGCAGTAGGGTGGGTGTTCTGGAGGAATGCGATCAATTGAGCTGAAGGGCTTTCTTTCTTCATGCAAACTGATCTTGTGATTCTTGCCTTATCCTAATTCCCAATGAATAACTCAGTGTGTGTTAAATACTGTATTTGACTATGGATTATTTGTCATTGTTGATGTTTCCAGTATATAAGAAAGAGAATAGCAAAGTTGAGTGATAGGAGAATTAAGCCTTTAATTGTTTTTCTCATTCCACTGATGCAATGTTTCCAATAAAAGAAGCAAGCTGAATTAAAATTGGATATTTGGGAAGCATCATGCAACAGGGCCATCTAATGGCTTGAACATTTGTTACAGGTTGCTTTTTGTTTTCCAAACTGAGCCTAACTAATCTATTATCAAAAGTGATTTAATTCATCATATAATCTGTGAATGGAGAGAAAAAGATTCCTGCATCAGCATTACAGTCAGGATCCAATGTCAATCTTCAATGACTTTCTGGTCATTGATGCTGCATTCGGATAAAGGCACTGAAGGGTCATAAAACTCATAAATCTATTCAGATGATCAATCATTGCATATTATCTTGTTGCCGTCATCATCAATGATGGGCGGATTTCCAAAGCATAAATGTTATGGTTTCTGAGATTGATTCAGCAATTTCTCCAGGAATTATTTCCTTTAATTTCCTTTTTTTTATTCATTCATATTTCATACTTTTCCTTTGACATTTTCTTTCTCTTTTCAAGTGTTAAATTGCTGAAACTTTTTTTTAATGTAGAACTAAAATGTCTTTGTCTTCATTACATTAATCAAATAGAGGTGAAATTCCTGCATTTCAAAAACATATATACAATTGAAATGTGGTTTACTTTGTCAAAAATTATCTGTCATAGAATCATAGAATTATGCAGCACAGAAGGAGGCCATTCGGCTCATCTGTGTCTGTGCCGGCTCTTTGAAAAGAGCTTTCCAATTCAATTCCACTCCCCACTCTCTCCCCATAGCACTGCAAAGATATCCTCACCAAATGATTATCTATTTCTCTCTTGAAAGTTGTTATCGAATTGGCTTCCACCACCCTTTCAGGCATTGCATTCCAGATTCGAACAACTCGCTGTGTGAAAAAAATTCTCCTCACCTCCCCTCTGTTTCGTTTAACAACTATTTTAAATTTGTGTCCTCAGGTTACCGATCCACCCGCCAGTGGAAATAATTTCTCCTTATTCACCTTATTGAATCCCCTCATAATTTTGAAAATTTCTATTAAGTTTCCTTTTAACCTTCTGTGCTCCAAGGAGAATAATCCTAGCTTCTGTAGCCACTCCTGATAACTGAAGTCCTTCATTCCTGGTACCATCCTGGTAAATCTCTTTTGCACCCTCTCCAATGCATTGACATCCTTCCTAAAGTGTGGGGCCCGGAACTGAACACAGTACTCTAGCTGAGACTTAGCCAGTGTTTTATAAAGGTTCATCATAACTTCCTGAATTTTGTATTCTGTGCCCTTATTTATAAAGCCTAGTATCCCGTATGATTTTTTAACAGCTTTATCCACCTGTCCTGCCGCCTTCAAAGATTTACTTATATGAACTCCCAGGTCTCTCTGTTCCTTCACCCCCTTTAGGATTGTACCATCAGCTTATAGTGCCTTTCCTCATTCTTCCTCCCAAAATGTATCACATTTCTCCACATTAAACTTCATCTGCCACGTGTCTGCCCATTTTACTAGTCTGTCTATGTCCATTTGCAGTTTGCTACTATCCTCGCTGTTTATTACGTTTCCTAGCTTAACATCATCTGCAAACTTGGAAATTGTACTCCCTATACTCAAGTCCAGATCATTTATATATATCCTTGAAAATTAATTAAAATGAATAAGATTCTCATTGGTTTGTAATCTAATTGTTGAGTTTGGTGGTCTCATCAGGGAGGCTAAATTGGCCACAGGGTTCCCTGAGTTGAGGAGAAATGGATTTGTATCCTCTGAAATACCCTCTACTGTGTCTGCATGTGTGTATGGTGAGGCTCAGCTATGGAAGTTTATGCTTGGGCTAGTGGTAGCCAACCCATGAACATTCTGCACCCCTGCACTTCCATCCAAATTACAGTTCTGGCATCTATCATTGCAACTATTAAAGATGCACATTGAAGGTCCCTTTGTTTAATGTGCAGCTTGAAGAGATACAATTTGCACCTATTGAAGTGGAACATTAAAGGACCCTTTGTTTAATGTGCAGATTGAATAGATAAAGTTGTACCTATTAAACTGCACATGAAAAGCCAGAATGTTATGAAAGGAGAGGTATTACTTGGTAGCAGTGGTAGGCTTGGTCTCTGAGGGATGGGGAACCAATGAAGCTGGGCTGATAATTGGGGTAATCTGCTCACGGAGCTTGGTGTGGGGAACAACAAGAGCTGCAGAGTTCTGAATAATCTGCATCTTGTGGAGGGAAGAGTTGGGAAGTCCAGCGAGCAGAGAGTTAGCATAGTCAAGCCTGGACATAATGAAAGCGTGGATGAGGGTCTTGGTGGCTTGAGGGGAGAGGTAGTGGTGGAGGTGGAAAATGTTGTGGAGATGGGAAGGCAGAATAGGTCGTGGCACGGATGTGGGGTTCAAAGGACAGTTGAGGGTTGAACCAAGGCTCTACTGGCTTGGTGAGGTAGAGAGTGCACCCATGAATGCATGGACCAAAGACAGAGCCTTGAGGAACATTGCACATGACGGTGTGATGGCTGGAGGAGAAACTGTTAGTAGATACAAAGTGGAGACGATGGGAAAGGTAAGAATGAAAACAGTCAAGGACAAACCGTGATGGTGGAGCTGAGAGGAGAAACGGTGGAGAATTCCTCTGTCTAGATTTATTCTATTGATGGATTATTTCAGAGTTGCATTGTAAAAAAAAAACTGGCTAAACTGGCTCCAAGGTGACATGCCTGGCAATGGATGGTCGGAATTGAGCTAGTCCAATATGGCTGTCTCAGTAATCTGGTTCCTGAGCCAGGCAGATCTGCATTATTCCAGGGCACTGCTGATGACAGCCCAGCTAGTCTGGCTCATCAGCAGTGGGGACATTCCTTTCCAGGGGTAATATTCCCTTCAATAATAAATAATAATAATAATTTAGTGCACGACTAGAGAAGCTAATGCCCGACTATTATTGGGACATTGCCGCGTTTCGCCCACAAAGTATACACTAAATTCACTTTACAGTATATTCTGTGAAGCGCTTTGAGATGTCTCAATGACATAATAAGACGCTATATCAAGTGCAAGGATTATTATTATTATAAACAGCAATATCAATGGAAAGGTCTGTAGTTTTAGCTGCTGAGACTGCAGCAGTATCCCAACGCACACACTGGGGTCCCCAAGACTTGGCACCCCAGTGTACGCCAAAAACTTCCCAGAATCAGGTAAGCAGGATGCTTTCCTCCAGGGAGAGAGTGCACATTCCATTCCAACAATCTATCTCTTGGATTTCTGTGTGTAGGTGGGATGCATGGAAATCTCAACTTGGTTTGGATACTGTTAAGCATGGTGATGGGTTTCTGCACGTGTCTGACTAAAATAAAATCAGTGTGCGCAAAATTTGTCAAATTGTTGAAATCAGTCTTTGAAGCTGTTTTTCATCAGTTCTTAAAAGAACTTCCAAAAAAGCCCTAGTGCGCAAGCGAGAGGACTTAGGTTTCATTCCTGGGCGAGGCGAAACCTTAAAGAGTTTCTTTACTTCACACGTCTCTGTTTACCTAGCAGTAAGTTGGAACCTGGTTGTCAGTCGATTTGCAGATCACCTTTGAGGGTAATGATCCCTAAAAAAAAATTGGTTACTCAATCCAAGATTGTTCATGAGACAATGCTGTGCGCAATTGGCTGCCTTGTTTCACTGACAAAATATACAGTCAATCCCATTATAATATAGTCTGTGAAGCGCTTTGAGACTCTCAATTACGTGATAAGGCCCTATATCAAATGCTAATCAAATTATTGATAAAAAAGGATTATTACTATTATTAATAAACCAGCTTCAAAATGAAGCTATATATACAAATTTGACAAATTCTGGATATTGTGAAATGTGATGCTAATAGAGTAAACCTTGACCCAAGTAGAAATTTACCCCTCTTGTGGGCTAAATCCTCACTGTGCCAAACCTACAAATGAAGAATATTTTGAGCAATTGAGTTCAGCAACCACTAAATAGCATGCATATAGACATACACACAAGCCTATGTACATAATACCTGGATACAAGCAAACAGAGGCATGCATATGCTTTATACTATAGTATGTTATTTTTAAATTCCGCCACAAATATACCGTCAATTCACTTTACAGTCTATTCTGTGAAACGTTTTGAGATGTCTAGAAGACGTGAAAAGCGCTATATCAAATGCAAGGATTATTATTAAATAAAATAGTTTGTTCTTTGGGTTTGCATTTTAATGCTTCACTGATGTTAATGCCACTTGTCAATTCTCTCAGTAATAGTATGATTCAGAGCAGGAAATACAGTCATTTCTATTTGCTGTTCCAAAATTGCTTTCGAGATTACAGAACATTGCCTTACAGAGCTGGAATCAATACAATACAACGTCAATGGTTAAAAACACAGACCACTAGACCAAATAGCCTTTCTCATGGCATGCTTTCAGATGTTCTTGGCTTAAACAGGGAAACCTTTTTTTTAGAAGAATCGACATTTGAAGAAAAGCAACTTAAAAAAACAATCTAAGACAAATCCATATCTATTTAAAACATTATTGTGCATAGCTGACAACCTCCAGGATTTTTCTTTTAATATCATGTTAAAAAAAAGCTGAAATCTGACAGAAAGAAGGTGCACAAAATATAATGGCGAAATCTGCTGTTGGCCAAGTTAATGTCTCCGTTTTTATCTCTACCACTTTATAGTAATATATAGATTAGCAGCAATAACTTCCATTTGTCCTTGGCAATAAACACTTCACACTTTGATTAAATGCCTGAACCTGCAGCTACAGCAT